GAGTACAGTCAAAAAGTAAATTCAACCTTACTTTTTCTGCTTATTACACAATTCAACGCTCGAAAGCAAACGTTACGTGTTTGGTGAGGCTTGATAAGACGAAAAAGTGTTGTCAAACAGTCTCTAAGTCATTAAGAGAGAAGCTCTTCCTCTTTACTTTAACTCTTTATGCCAAATCATTTGTATTTGTCCATATAAGACAAATATAAAGATGTCCTTTCTTTTTACACATTTTAAGAAAGTGATATTGTTTGGTATTGTTTATATACTTTTTGACATTCTTTGACATTGTTTGCATAATTTTGTGTTCCTATATTTGCCAAATGAGGAAAGATGACTTTTTTTGGGACTACACTAAAAAGAAAGGGAAACTTTTAAATAGGGATAAAGAGAGAGAGTAATAGTAACTTTATGATTAAGCATATTGTTCCAAAAATCAATAAAATAAAACATATCTACATTTGAAATTGACTGATAATGTCAAATTTTGGTATTGAATGAGTATTGATAATTAAGGATTCACAAATGATAATAAAAAATCATAAAAAACAAAAATGGTGACAAAGAAAAGTAAAATTACAAATTAGGCGATACAAGTACAATTTATTAATGGGCTCATCAGGCTGGGTGGGACCGACACATTTGATTATCAAAATATTCCGCAATTGGCCACGAGCTATGACCAGCGCGTGGGATTATATGAATAAACCTGAAACAGAGATGCGACGATGAATGAGCGAAGAGGCCCCAATAAAATAGGCGAATCAGGTGACCTCATCGCCGTTCAATACTCTCAGCCACGCCGGCGACACAACACGACAAAGCGGCGCGTGCAATTTTAGTCGAGGTGTGTTTCCTTCGTACTTATTCGTGCAATTCCAATGATGATTGCTCACCATGCCTGTGATTTCGATTTGGTTAGCTTAACTTCTGTTCTTTTTATTCTGCTAAGAATTTAGGCAATGTTTACTCTTTCCTATCTCTTTATTTGATTCAATTTTGAAACTTTGTTCTGTTATTAGTCGCTAAGTTTATCTGTTTTTCCTTTTTATTCTGTTATATCAGAGTATCCAACTATCCTTTTTCTTAATTAATTGTTATATCCTTAGTGATTCTCATTCCCAGATTTCGTATTCTTTTTAAAGTTTTTTAATTATTAATTTTGTTGCATTGAGGTACTAGTTTTATGTGATTTTTTAATCTTGATGAGTTCTTTGCTCTAAATAATGAACGATTTAGACTTGCACAGCTCGAAGCGACTGTGATTTCTTTTTTACTGCTTCACATTTTGTTTGTGTTGCTCTATGTATGAGATTCGTGTCTGGGATTATTGGATTGTTAAGGAAACAAAAGACCATGTCGGTTTGAAAAGGACAATTGGGCAATTATATGTCCTTTTCTGATTAAAAACCTTCATCTCTCATATAAATGTGTAAAATTTTTGTTGTAGCTGTTACTTCTTCTCTCAATAGTCTTTAGATGCTTCCAGTTCTTATTTTCCCAATTTTCTCTGTGGAGGTGTAAGAGAGCCGTGCTTGGCTACTCGATGTCTAAATGAAATACTGAGAAAGATTATGGTTTATTACTTTCTTCCTGTCATGTTTATAAAAATATAATACTGAAAAAGGTTATTGCGTGTCTAATCGTTTAGCCATTTCCTAAGATTGTTATCATGTTGCCACCAATCTTTTGTTGATTAAGTTTCTATGTTATTCTTGATGTAGGCATGAAAAAGCCTCATCTTAGTTGATTGGAATTAAAGAGCAAGGTCATAGTTACCTGTCTTCTACACAAAGAAGCATAAATGGAGGGACGCCCTGCTTTATCCATTCAGAGGGTGGGGCCTAGGCAACTCAGTAACTTTGGGGGTCTCTCATCTTCTTCTTTACCAGTCCTTCCAACAACTCTTGAAGGGAAATTCCCCAAGTTTCCAGAAACACATGTTGCTCCCCTGTCATCAAACAGTGCCGTTGCCGGTCTTATGTTTTCTTCAGCATCTGGATATTCAAGTGATCTTCATTATTCATCTTCTTCATCCTTAGTCAACTCCAAACAACCTCATTTTATTCCTCAGTCAACAACAAATAAAGAGACACCGGAAATGTTGTTTCCGGAATCTGGAGCTCTTCAATCCACAGCATCAAGTGGTTTTGCTAAGGAAAATGTTGTCCCGTGGTCTACTGATCCATTGGTTGAGCTTCTATACTACCCAACAGAAACACCTGCCTGTATGGAAAGTAATCAGCAACTAGATTGCAGTGATGATGCTGATTGTGCCATTATTACTTCTGAGGATATTGTTAAACGAAACGATTGGCAAGAATGGGCTGATCAGCTTATTTCTGATGATGGTGCTCTCACTTCTGATTGGAATGATATGATTGCCCATACAAGTACTCCAGACGCAGATACAAATGTAGGTTCACTTTTAAAAAGAGCTACCCGGTGTTCTAGTATCCATATTTGTTCTTTGTTTTTATTTTAAAACAGAGGGGGTTGAATTTAAATCTATTTGCTCTCTGAAAATAAAATACTAATTATTTTTTAATTGTTGTGGTGTGGCTCGAGTGCTCCACTTGAGTTCCATTCACCATGCCAGCTTGTCTAAATCGAGGTTAATGGAAAGGGACTAGAAAGGAACAAAGCGAGTTGTAGAGATGAATAATAAAAAAGAAACTTACCGCAAACAAAAACATGCTATATTTGCATGGACGATAAACATATTTTTATCCTTTTTTCATTGCAAAGATGTTTTTTTTGTTATGACTTTTCTATCTGCCATCTCCTTATTTTTTGATTTTTTAATTGCTATATAGCTTACACTTTTTTCTCAATTCGTAGTTACAGGTGTCAAAACAATCTTCAAATTTACAAACCAATCTGACAAATATATCCAAGCAACTCACTGTTATTCCTGGAGAAACTTCGGCTGTTGTGTGCGTACAATCCCCTACAAGTGGCGCTCCTACAAAGCAGCGCATGCGTTGGACACCAGAACTTCATGAAGCATTCGTGGAAGCTGTTAACAAGCTTGGTGGAAGTGAAAGTGATCTCTTCTCCTTGCTGTGCATATTAATTACTCCATTGTATGATAAAAGTAGAAGGTAGTTTTTGTTGGAATTAATGTTTTACTTGATTCTTCAGGAGCTACTCCCAAGGGTGTGCTAAAATTAATGAAAGTTGAAAACTTGACCATCTATCATGTTAAAAGCCACTTGCAGAAATATCGCACGGCACGCTATAAACCTGAATCTTCAGAAGGTATGGTACATGAACCATTTCCATATCAGATATTAAACACATATATTGATACATGTATTTATACATATATATGTAAATGATTGGAGATTTGTCTGCAGCTTTTCTATCTTACCTCATGCTGCATTTTTTTATTCTCCTCTTAACATGGAAGCTTGTTATATGCTCTCCAATGAATCCTATTTTGCTCTCTTTCTGTGGCAGCATCTTTGGAGAAGAAACAGCATGATATTGATGACTTTCCATCTCTGGACTTGAAAGCGTGAGTTGATGAATCTGTTAGTGAAGCTTTTACTGCTTTATACTGGTCTATAAGTTTCTAAAAGCGAATATTGGGAAAATGTTGTCGAGGAAAATAAGTTGTGTTATGTATCGTGTAATGTTTAGTGCACAAATAAGAAATATAAATATTGCTCGATGAAACGAGGAAGCAATTTTCCCTAGAAGCCCAAACAATCATGGATAAAATTTTCAAATTTTAAATAGATGGATGGAGTCTTAAATATCTATATGCAGATATGTGTGCATTCTCGCACATTTTCTTTGACACAGCTATATTAAACGCGGAAAATGTTGTTGAGGAAAATAAGTTTTATTATGTATCGTGTCATGTTTAGTGCACAAATAAGAAATATAAATGTTGCTCGATGAAACGAGGAACCAATTTTCCCTAGAAGCCCAAACAATCATGGATAAAATTTTCAAATTTTAAATAGATGGATGGAGTCTTAAATATCTATATGCAGATATGTGTGCATTCTCTTGAACTTCTAATATTATGAACACACTGAAAAGTAGTTAAATAAACATAAAGCTGGATATTTGTTACAGGGGTATTGAGATCACTGAAGCGCTAAGGTTGCAAATGGAAGTGCAAAAGCGGCTCCATGAGCAACTTGAAGTATGAATCATATTGCATTAATATTCGGTTTTCGGTCAAGGACTATCTTAGTCTTTCGGTCACATATCCCCATCCGTCTCTAATTTTTTAGTTAAGATCTGTTACGCTTTATTGTTAAGTGGTTATAATCTTAAAACATACGCAGATTCAACGGAATCTACAGCTGAGAATTGAAGAACAAGGGAGATATCTGCAGATGATGTTTGAGAAGCAGTGCAAGTCAATGCCAAATGTTGATACCGTAAAAAGGGGATCACCATTATCCACGACTGACAATAATCCCTCACCCCTGCAGTTGATTGATGGAGGTCACCCCTCCCCCGCAGATGACTTGGCCAATGCACCCCTGATTGAATCTCCTCCTCGAGCAAGTGGAGAAAAACAACAAAAGGATTGTGAAATGACTGTAGTAGTAGTAACTCCTGACTCATCGTCGGACTCACCAGCATCGAAACGTGCTAGGGTAGTAGCAACTCAATAAAGTCTCTCATTTATTAGTAATTGATATTGATATTGTCCCTGTTTTATCATTTAATGATCCTGGAAAACATCATAAGCTTTGTGATAGCGAGCAAGTCTGAGACTATCCTCTCTCTACTGGCCTACTGAGAAGGTTTCATTGCCAAAGGAGCCCGTTTGTCACCCATAATTAAATTACACTCATGAAAAATGTTTGATAATCATTGGCAAAATCTATGTTATAGAATTCATGTACGTGATAGAATTCAACATTTGATAATCATAAGTCATTTGGGCCAAAATCACATTAGAACTTAAACCTGGGTTGTTAAATTATACAAGGTCTGAGACTATGAGTAATGTTCCCTTGGGGTTTTTGTCACTAATTTATTATGCACAAACAAATATATAAATTCAATTACATCATCACCATCACCACTCATATGTAGACTGTAATAGTAGTAACTTACAACAACATACAACAATTCAATTCACACAAGCCGAGATTAAATTTCCCAAAAACAAATTCAAGAACTTGCAATGAGGGGAAAACGTAATAACAATATTCCTGAGTGAAAAAAATCAAGCTCCGGCAGTGCTTCGATCTAAAGCTCTCTCCAACCTTGTCTGGAACGGAGTAGAATGCCAAATAACTTTCTTGTCCTGGAGCATTCCCATGAAATCAAAATCAGCAATCGCTCAAAAGTACACAAATAAAAAGCTGATCACTTTAATATTTATTTTACCTCTCTGTACTTGCTGGTCGTGTTTGGTATTCCCTTAAAAGAAGATGCTGTGCAATCACCATCCTTCTTTAAAGATCCACAATCAGAGTGATTCCAGTATGTCCCAACAGATCCTATGATAGGAGCCTCCTCAGGACTTCGACAAGGCGAAGATTGCATTGGAGACGACGAAACCTGCTGATTCAGCTCCTCAGCTGTCAAAGCACCTAAAATCGGCCTGTCTTTGAAGGTGCCTTTTGTGGGCTTCTCTGCGGGTAGACTTGGAGGGGGAGTGAGCCAGTTTGAAAGACTGGCATTGACTGCAACCTCTTCTTGGTGGTTCTGATGAAGATTGGTTCTCGATTCTGAAACCTTGGGCAATTCTTGGTTCTCTTTTAGTGGCATTAGGATACCTGACTCTGCTGCTTTTATTTTCATAGCTTTCCACTGAGAAAGATTCTCTACTGGGTTAAGAACAGGATGAACATAAACACTTCTATCCCTAACATATCCTTTCTTCTCATCCAAACCATGTTCAACTAAGGGCGGTTCTGGCACGGAATTCGGAACCACTGATTCAGACCATATCCGGTCAACTAGCATTCTGCTATCATCATCAGAATATTCATCTTCTTCATCTGATTCGAGAAACTCTTCTTCCTGCTCGTCATCATCATCAATGTCACTGCAGTTCTTGTACCTATAATTGGAAGGATAAGATTCTGCACTGGAAATAACAGAACCAACTTCTGTGGGAGAGTGGCTTTGCTTATTACCCAGTGGTTTTTCCTCTTCCTCTTCATTTTTACTTGTAATCGTAATCTCTGGTAAAGTTTCCGTACTTTCCTTAACTGAAATATGCTCATATGTTGTGACATTGTCGTCAAATGTAACCCGCTTTCTGGCACTTAAACTCAGTATTTCCTCAGGAGTGGCCCTTAATATAAAAAGAAGAGGAAAAACACAATTGCTGGATCAGTAAATTAATGAAAACCGTAGACCTCAAAATTTGTAAAACATGGGATTGGTAAAATACTAACTGAGAGACAGAGTTAGCGACCGGTGCTTCCGAGAAGAAGCTTTGCTCTGTGGAAGTGGCTCTATGAGGAGTGCCATGAAGAACATTCTTCTGCAATAAAGATCGCACCTTTAAGTTTTCATAACATTGGAATCTCAGAAGTGTTGAAGCATAAACGTACGAAAATATTAAAAACCCAGCGTAGAATTCAGTTTGCTACAAACAATGAACTCTACAAAAAAATGAGTCTGCTGAAGAAAATTGAAGATGAAATTTCAAGATTCGAAATTCCAAACGCCATTACAGATAGATAACAGAGATGGGTCTTCCTTACTTGGTCTCGAGGAATGACCTGGTTCCTCTTTTTACTGCGTTTGCGCGAATCCTCAGAACCACCAAAGCAACCGAGAAAGTTCCCCATTTAACTTAGAGATTATGGCCGTGGAGATTTGGGTGTTTCTTTTTCCTCTCCGGAGCGGCGGTGGGTTAAAGGAACTTCATTGATGAAAGTCAGCCGAGCAGAAGGGAGGAGCGTTGGGATTCCCAAAAGCAGCAGAGTGAGATGTAGAAGAAGAAGGGCGTGAAACGGTCAGTGTTCTTGGTAGGCCATGCCTAGGGCTTTGTTTGATTTTGAAAAAAAGGGGAAAATGTGACCGTTACGATTGAGTTGTTGACGATGGAGGTGGATTTTGTGAAGAAGAAAAAAGCAGGCGTTTAATCATGTCATTACCGTTGCCTCCACAGAACTCATGTCTGTCGGACTATAATTTGTCTTTTTCCGCTTTTCACTGAAAAAAGTGAAAGAAATTTAAAAGAACAATCGATCCTTAATTGAATTTTAGAAGCTTATACTCCCTCTTTCCATAAATTATCTTACATAGTACATGTAACATGAGGATTAAGATGTGAAAAAATGTGTAGCGGAAAGTTATATAGAGGAGAGGAAAATATCTAAAAATGTGAGAAAAAATTGTTGCGGATCACGAATTTTTTACCAAAAGAGGAAAGTGGAAATTTATTTTGCGACGTCCAAAAAAATTGAAAATTTATTCAGAGACATAGGGGGTAAGAAATTGAGATTGCTTTGAAGTTTGGAACACATAAGAGTGGAGTTTTAGGAGTTGAATAATTTTTCATTCATAGTGTTGCCACGTGTCATTTTTTTCCTACAAAGAGGTTACCACATGCCAATAATTACTCTAAAAGGTTTTTCAATGGTTAGCTTTATTATATTATATAGATAGGATAGATAAAAAATCTCTCAATGTTTACGATCGTTAATAATTTGAATGTTTACACTTCTCATGAGATGGGAATGGATAAAAACTACTACTCCCGTTCCAAAAAGGTTTGTCATATTGATTTTTCTTGATCAATGATGACATACTTTGGGCAATGATTATAATTATTATATTTGTATATAATTTATAAATTTTATACTTTTATGAAAATATTTTGAATAAGGAACAATTTGATATAATTTTCATAATCTAAATAATTTTGTATTAAAAAATCATTGATCAAAGTTGATTGCAAATGATCAAGAAAAGTCAATTTGGCGAACCTTTTCGGGACGGGGGAGTTGTGACATATCACATAACGAAACACGAAGATCAATTGAAGTTGAAGTTTTATCTTCTCAATGTTTACGCTTATTAAAATATAATACGTAGTATTACCAAGTTGTTTTTGGAAGAAAATACGTTACCAAGTTGATAACAATGTTGTAAACTCTTTCACTACTCTTAGCTGCACACTTCAATCGAATATAGTTTCTCTATATTTCTTAGCATCACGTGTGTGACATATTCCGTTTGTGCAGTTCAGTTGAAGTTTAGTTTCTCATCCACAAATCATTGTGGATTTGCGGGCGTGTGGCATTGCTATGAGTAATTTCTTCATTTGACTACGGTTCATCTTAATCCATATCATTTAACCAAGTGAAAAAAAACAGTACAGGGCTTTAAATGCGTATTGATAGTACTAATTTGGTACATTAATGTCAATTTCACACTTTACTTTCCAATCAAGATATAGATAACTAAATATGGTAATCTATTTTAGAATATATATTTCTCCATATACTTTATTTGCACAATGACAGTATATCATAAATTTGTTTTTATATTTAAACAATTTTGATATATGGAGCACATTAATGTGATGAAGTACTAGTAATCTGATTTTCATTATATTCAATGCTCATCTTTGATGATAACCCTTTTGTTTTGCATGCTAACTATAATAAAAATAAGGAAGAATAACTTCAAGTAATATCAACTATCACTCATAAACAATACTCCGTATTGATATACACTTTAAAAGTTACTTTTAATAATAATCTAAAGTCACTCACTAATTAGAATTTCAGTCTCTTAACAGCCTCACCAAAAACTAATTCAAACAATCAAATTTATATGCTTATATAGGTTTTCAATGAGATTAATTGAATTTCAGCAACTTAACTCACTTTTATAATGCACTCAAATACTACGTAGTTGATAATATGAAAAATGATTTTCAAATTTCTTAATATTATTGGTTTAGATGAGTGATATTATCTAAAGTTATTTTCTGAATAATAATAATAATATAATTATAATTAAATCGAAATGTAATGGCGTAAAAAGAGATTCACTTTGATTAGGTAAATAGATAATGAAACATGCATTTTGGATTCTCAAGCTCTTATTGCCGTATTGGTAATGATCAATGATGACACTTCATGCATTGGGATTTGGGATAGGGGTGGACCGGTTCCGGTTCGGGCCCGGTTCGGGCCTGGGCCCGGCCGGGCCTCGGTTCAGAAATATGAGGCCCGAGCCCGAACCGGTGGTGGGCAGTTCCGGGTCCGGTTCCGGGCCAGACCGGGCCGGGCCACCCGGATTTTTTTTTTTTTTCTTCTTCTTCTCTTATTTAACCCCCTACCCCTCCCCCTACACCCCAAATGGCCCAAAATACCTAATCCAACCCAAAACTTAAAAAAATATCAAAAATAATAATAATAATAATAATAATAATAATAATAATAATAATAAATTCCGGCCCTAACCGGGCCCGACCGGGCCGGTTCACTAAACTGGAGGCCCGGGCCCGGACCGCTATACCACCGGGCCGGGTGGCCCGAACCGGGCACAAACTGGTTCACCGGGCCGGTCCGGGCCCGCACAGTAGCGGGCCGGTCCGGTTCCAGGCCGGTTGGCCCGGCCCGAGTCCATCCCTAATTTGGGAGGCATATAGATGACAAAAAAACTTAGTGATGCATGGCATCCTTCTTTATGGAGGTTGGCAAAACATGGCGTAAAATCAATAAATTTTAAATAATCACCAAGTAAGCATACTACATGTGTGACTTTTCAAAAAAAATCACAAGCGTTTCACGCTGTACTCTAGAAGGCAAACCCAATCTCAAGAAAACAACTTTTCCTTCAGATTTTCTATTCCTGACGATCCAAACACACCCCAAGTGAACCAAGTTACCTGTTACCACTACATGCTGCATCCATATTTGAAGAGCAACTCACCATGACAAATAAACAAAAATAAAAAGGGGTAACAACTAACAAATGTGTTATACAGCCCAAGAAACAATGGTAGCCCCCACATTTTTCCTCATCAAACAAAAGGAAGCAACTTACAAGCAGCAATGGATTCCAGAATCCATGTGTGTTTAATTACCAAAGAACCACTCAGTTTAGCCAAATTCTCAGCTTCTTCAAGTCTTCGCAGCATAATGGAGCTTTCTTCCTTAGGCATACACTCCCTGGGAGGGTCACAGTTATACACAATCAGACATGTTGGGTGATCGCTTTGTCCCCGATCCTGCCCTTTGGCGGCAATCACCTCTTCTTTTCCCTGCAAAATGGTCCCTCCAGCCACTTTAGTCAACTCCAGGAGATCCTTTAAATAAGCGGCCAAAAAATCTCCACTTGGATAAAACCTTAACCCTGCAAAAAGTTTAGGTGCCTGCATGGCAGGAAAATGAATCATTCTCAAAAGGAATAATGTATGCTTTTCAGAACATTGGAAATTCAAAGAGGAAGCAGTGGAAGAGTTACATTGGATGAAGCCCTTAGTCTTCCAGTTTTGGGCCCATTGCAACACCCATGGTTGTCCAAATTAATCTCAAATGGCTCTTCATTCACAGGGCAGTTGGCCTTCATACAAGCCCTTACCCCTGCAAATTCAAGGAAAGTAGAGGTAAAATATCACAACTATCCAAGGTAAATTTGGATTCAAGGTAAACATGCTGGCAAAACAAAACTGATTTGCCTTTATCATATAAAAGAGTATGACTTTATACAATTCACTTGGTTCAAACTCAACAAATCATTTGTAGATAAATTTGTTTAAACTCATTGTATTTATATATATCTAATATACTCCGTATGTATTATGTAGAATAACCAATCCAAATATATGTGAAATTTAAAAAATACTTTGGCATGTCTGATTTTTGCAGATAAAGACCCAACATGTTTTCAATACTACACATCAACAACATCCAAGCCTTAGTCCCAAAATGAAATCAACATATTTCAAATCCTTGGCATTTTTTCATTCGCTGCCATTTTATGTGTTACAGACATAGGCTTAAAGAACAAAGCGTAAGGAGTGTTGAGACACAGCAAGAGAGAAATCTTACAGTCCATGGAAAGGATCCATTTTCCACATAAAATTGCCATGAGAACTTTGAGAGTCCTTGTGCATGCACCCTCAGAATCAGCTGCTGCTATTACATGAGTCACGTCTGATGACCAGAGTTTTGAGACAGTTGCACCGCACATTTTAGCAAACTTTACCAAAGTACACTTCAGCAGAAAAAAAAATCAATTAGGATTATTGAGTAAACATATGGAAACAAATATGTACACATTCTAGTTAGCTGTTACTTACCTTATCATCTGATGACAAAGCAGACCCACATAAAACCCATTCTTTTGGCCCCTCAGGTGACGTTGACCAAATGTCCAACTGCTCAGCAGTTCTACACACACCAAATCAAACCAAATGAGAAAGATGTGCTGGAGCTTGAAAGCAGCTAAAGGAGGGAAAGGGGTACTGTAGGAATAGAAAACTGTTTTCTGGTGCTTGGTTTTAACATGGAAAATGCAAAGAAAATGAATGAATAATGTTTTTAAAAATCTACATGTTTAGAACTCAGTATTTATATAATAGAAATAGATACATAAAATGAGTACACAAACATAAAAAGTAAATTTATTGAGTTTCAAAACCTAATATTTATCTTCCCTGACAGTTTGTCCAATCCCCCTGATTTTCTCCCATTTTAGTTCTTTGACATTTTCTGACTTCCAAATAGACCCAAAAAAGGTGTCTCTAGAGCCCTTACATTTTAGATGAGTTGATATGATTTTCAGAAGTGGCAGACTTCCTAGATTTTGGTTTCTCATTAGGAAATCTTGTAGAAATATGGTTAGGACACAACATCAAGAAGTTGTCCTGCAAATCACAAAACACAAACAACAGTCATATAAAAAGGTTAGCTTATTTGATAAATTCAACCAGTCATAAAGCATATGTTGTCATTTATGAACTAACCAAGTCCCATCTGCACTCTTCAATTTCAAATGCACATGGTGCGTGGTAAGTCTTTGGACAAGATTTCATATAACAGCCAAGGGCTGCACCTTTCTGTCCACAGACATTACATTTGAGTTTTGCAGATCTAGCCAATTCAGATTTGAAATTTTTTATGAATTCACCCTCATAATAAATTTGGGGTGCCCTGCAATACAATAAAGGGTAATGTTATACTTCCTCTCTTCTTTTTTAGTTGCAATATTTCTATTTTCTTGATGTTTTTATCTAATGTAAGTTTTAAAATAATGCACACATCAATAACCAAGTGATTATGTTTCGAAGGCATACCAGTCGATGCATCTCCTGTGAACAGGTATAGAATCAGGAAGATGATCCACAAACTCCTTTCCTTTATTGTAAAATATAATTGGACCAGAAGACTACAAAATTTATCAGGAAAGAAACGAAAAATAATCAATTCTAGGGGATGATTATACTTATTCATTGTCCCTTGAAACTAAAAGGAAGAGGAAAGTTCAAATTGACTTCAAAACTTACATCTGTTGCATTTGGTGACTTGCAGAAAGCACAACCAGTAAGAAAAGGATCACAATTTGCAATGGCGCTTTGGCTTTTTGCTTCAGATGACAAACCCGTGTTCATTTTCTTTTGTCTCTTGGTATCCCTTTCACATGATGTGTCATCAGTATCTCTACTTCTGCAATCTATTTCACTAGCATTCACAAGTTGCCCATCCACACTAGACAAATTAGCAGTTTTCGCAAAACCCTGTAATATGAGACACATTTGTTACCATCTTTATTCAGTTTACCAAAAGTGAATAATTATAAAAGCTAACAATGACAAAGAATCCCACTATAGGGACGCACATGCCTTCCCTGCTCGATTCGTTTATGAGTTCTCTTAAGCCTTTTTTAAGGCCTAATCATGGTTGATTGGCCAAGCATACACTTACTAAGTTAAATGTGTTCCCATATTTTTAAAACAAAAAACGTCTAAAAAGAATTACATAAATAAGCTTTGTTTATCCAAATGAGAGTACATGGGGCTTGTATTGTCCCACTTAGATAGCAAAAGTTATCAATGGCATCACAATACAAAAAAATTAATAATCATAATAAATATTCATCCCAACTTCATGAACACATAAAAATAAACTCCATGTGCATTGAAAGGGAAATTTAGACTACAGATTGATCTAATAACACTCTTCATGGTAAGAAACTTACCAAATCCTTGCAAACAGCTATTTCAGAACTATTGCCATCCACTTCTTTGTTATCATCTGATGAAATATAGCTAACTGGGGATTGTTGTGGCAAGTGATTCACATCAATCTCCTCCGCCGAAGGCCTTCCATCAACAATATTTCCTGACAATGCAGCAACAGTAGGCAAGCTACTGCAACCATTCACATCATTCAAAAGCATTGCATTTTCATTCTGCGCAAGTCTCTTGACTGATGGAGAAGGTGGCATTACACTACGTAAAGGTTTCACATTGCTAGTCTTCATAGGGGATTGTCCTTGAGCAGAACTGCCAGACCTTGGCGACTGCTGCAAAGATCTCCCTGCAGGTGTTGGAGTAACAAAGAGTAATTACAAGTCTAAACAATTCATATTACCAGGAGAATAAATTGGTAAATAAAGGTTCTATAAGGGTAGAAAAGAATAGTATTAATGCCTGAAGAAAGTGATGGAGAGATAATGCCATTGAGTGCAGAATCCATGCTTCTATATATAGTCACAATATTTTCAATATAAGGCGCAGGCCTCAAATCTGCACAGTTTTGAGAATAGAAAAAATTCAAGTTAGCAAATTATCATTCAATTACAAATTTACATTCTCGAAGCAAAGAAAGAAAACACAAGGATTCCAAAATAGCTTTTTTCATATGTCTAAATAAACAGTTTCATAGAGTACCTCGATTATTGAATTGGTGCTTGCAAACAGGGCATTCAGGTCCATATTCCGGAACACAAAAGCTGAGTCAAGAATTTGATTTCACCAACAAGTGATTAACAATCAGTATTAAGAAAGACTTTAGTTTGGCTCTAAGCGCATTGCAAATCATTGCAAATCATCTGAAGTAAAGAGAATGTCTACAGATACAAAAAAAAAAATACATGGCCGCTGCAGTGGAGCACTGTGCTGGTTCAAGCTAGGAAAAACAGCAAATACAGTCGGACTTTTAAAAAGGTTTTCTTTTTACACTTGTTCCCATTTTTTGCAGTATTGACGATTTCTGGAAGTTTCATAAAAATATATTATTGAGCAAGAATAACGGAAGATGAAAACTTACTTGCAGAAAATGTGATTACATGGAAGCAAGATAGGCTTTTCCATCAATTTTAGGCTGTAAAATCACAAAAAGAACAACAACAGAAGCAAATCAGGGTCATTCACGGAAGCACTGACGAAAATCGAATACAAAGCGAACAGGCAGAGAAGAGGGAAGCAGTTGTGTGCTCACCAGAGAGGGCATTTGAGCTCAAGACCGAGCTTCTGAAGATGAAGAGTCCAAGGATTCAGAAGCCGAGAAATGCACTGAGAATCCGCCATTACAGATCTCTCCTTCAATGAACGAAGATACTAATCAATCGTTTACAATGTACAAGGGCTGTGGAAATGTAAAGGGGCTGCAATGGAGAATAATATAGACGAAGCTTGTCGCGCCATTATAGGCTTTCGGTCAAAATCCAAACTCCCGCCTCCGAATTTCTCGATGAATTTTCTCCCGCCTCTTCAAATTCCTTGGGCCGCTGGTCGTACATATGTGAATCTGATTGGGCCGTTAAAGCTTTTTTTCAAGCCGACACAAATAGGGTAATTCTAAATGGGTAGCCACAAAATTGCTATTCACAAACCTACAAAATTGCTATTCACAAACCTTAATTATATGTAGGCTGTCTGTTATGCCCTCTATCCCCGTATGAAAAATGCTTGGTGTACGCAAAATGTGTACACCATTTTTGTACACTTGTCTGCCTGAGACAGACAAGTGTACAAAAATGGTGCACATTTTGTGTACACCTAGCAAAATCCATCCCAGTATTGTAAAAACTGAGATAGGTATCCCATTTGTCACGACTTGAAGATTACCCAAGAGACACACAAGTAGATTATTTCTCAAATAAATGAAAGATAAACTAAAAACGAGAATGAATAAGAACACATATTATTTTTCTAGCTCGAGTTCGAGCATCTTATTGGAATTCATACCTATAAAAATTAATTAGCGAAATTTGACCCGAGCTCGAACCGAGATCGAATTGAGCTCGAGTTCGAGCCCGAATTATTTAACTCGTCCAAGCTCGAGATCGAGCTGGAGCTCGTGAATTGTTATCAAGCTCAAGCATGTCCATGCTCGGCTCGTCTCATTTACACCCCTGGATGTGTTTAATAAAAGTAAGACTGTATTTAGAATTGCCCCACAAATATTGTCCGTAGTTTATGGGGAAATTCGGTTCAAACCCTCTTATTTTCTATATGAAATTTTACTCAAAACATGATACTTTTCCCTATTTAGGTGAAGGGACCCGGGTTTGAGATAAATATAGTTGAAATCGTATTCATGAAATTTGGATTCAAGATCTCACACGAGAGAGAATGAATTGGCGATCAGTTAAGTCGTATTGTTTTCTTTGTATGAATGACATTCATAGAATTCGAAGGAAATTAAAGCTCAAACAACAAATATTTGTACTAAGATATGATCATAAGTTTAGATACTATTGGAGGTCAAATATTGTTATCGTGATAAATTATATGTAGTAAGAAAGAATCCAAATCTAGGTATCTTAATTGAAAAATGTCATCCAATGGTTCCAAGCTAAATAACGCGTGAAATTGAAAATAGTCCCATACTAACTGAACCCGTGGTTTAAAAAAGATCATTTTCATTGTTGTTTTGTGTAATATTCAGTATTCATTCATTAGTTTTCTTTGTGGTCATCTTGTGTTTGAAAGTTTTTTCACTATATTGTGTGTCTCGTTTTTTTATGATTAAGGTGGTGGTTCACACTTTAAAAAAATACACTTGTGAAGTTGATAGAGTTTGATAATGAACGGATTTATTAGGAAAATATTATTTCTCAGTATCATGAAACAATGTAATCTAATTATGAAAATAAATCATTAATATGCAATGCAAGTTCTTCATTGCAAAAATATGTGGAATCTTTAGTTGCAATTTTCATTGCATAAATTACAACAAAATTGTAATACATTGCAAAGGATGTTGCATATTGCCGATGAATTAACCATGTTTAGATTTGTAAACGTCATTGTAAATTTGCAACTGCATGTTTTTTATTGCAGAATCGATTGCACCCCTACATCAATGAATGGTATATGGTAATATAATTTTCATTGCAAATTTGTCTTACACTTTTTGCAATTACAATTGTCAATTTGAATTTCTGCAGCCTAATAAATATTTTAAACATAATTTTGAAGGCAAAAATAATACATTTTCATAAAATTATAAAGCATTCAAAACAAGTTTAGATTGAATACTATTCAACTATATAAATGAAAAATGTTTAACAACCGATACAAGTAGCAAATGCGTAGTATGTCACAATTGTCATTCAATAAAGACGGATAACGAAATAATATCATCTATCTCTCATTGCTTTTCTTGCGTTTGTTGTTGACATTGCTTCTATTCTCCAATGTGATGCAACTTTTGCATTCCACCTACCAAATTATCTATATCGCCACAATTATTGAGATGAAGTGTAAGTTTCTAAAGAGTGCTCTAACTGGTCAGTCAAATTTAGCTAAAACAACGACTCAACACATGGGAATAAAAGTTCATTAGTCATTCACATCCTTCAAATCTACTTCATGTTAAGAGGATCGGGAACCTATATACAGAATTTTACTCTCAAGCACATGAATGCACAAATCCACTGGTTATAGAACAATTTGATGCACAAATGAGAGTGAGTCAGTGTGCAAAATGATGGAGAAAGGTACACTTACAAGAACACCACGATGGGCCGGAACTAACTGTGTGGCGTTGTTTTCAGCCCTGACATCAGAGGCCACTAAAACAACGCCGGCAAAGCAGGGAGTTGAAGATGGAAACGGGCCTCACCGAGGAGATGAGAGATTAATGTAATGGAGGGGATCTACTGAAAATCAGAACCGAATAAAGTTGACTTTAGCCTTGAGGCGGTAGATGGCCGGAGGTGCCCTCTCAGTTTCACTTCGCAAGGATGCTTTAGGGTTGGAATATGGGTTGACTTTCTTTTTTTGAAAGGTGGTTGACTTTTCCCACAGACGGCGCCAGTGTTGAGGTTTATTCCTTCAACCCTCGGGTCCAACACGTAAGCCCAAGGATTTCGAGTGGAGTGTGTATGAATATCTAGCCCAACTAGCAAGTGATATGGATCAAGGAGAACAGTAAGCAGCAAGTAAGTGATTAGGTATTATTATCCCTTAATAACTCCCTAATACAATACTTCTCACTAAGGCTCGTCGGCCGTTCGTCTTACAATACAGTAGAAGTGCTGCGAGTAAGAATGCTATAGCTAGAGTGCTAAGAATAGAAAGTTGCCAACCCTTTACAACGAAATAAATGCTTCTATTTATACCCACCAATGGGCAGGTGGCTATACTGACGTGGAAGCCAGTGGTTCGCTGGTGTCTCAACCACCAAATCTTCAGCATTAAATGCACTTCCCGCCAGAATCTAGGTCTCCCGCCCAATTAGTGGGGACGTTCGTCCGTCCGGGGAGTGAGCTGCTCCAGGTGGCCTCCAGGGGTTATTGGCCATTCGTCCCCTGGCCCTTGTGGATTCTCGCCATGTGGACTGGACTGCCTCCGATGGCTATGGGCTTGCTCTGACGACGTTCGTCGCCATTCCGATGGCCCGTGGTCCTGATCCTTGTTTCTGCATAGACGTTCGTCGAGATGGGCCGTTGAGCCTAAACCCCAACCGCAGACGTTCGTCCCTCCTGGAGGAAATGGGCCTGCCAGGCTAGCTTAGTGTTCCATCTGGACGTACGTCCAGAAGAAGGGGTAAATGGGCCGAACCTCAACTTGGGCCATTAACCCAACAGGGGCTTTTTCCCGTCAATATTAGGCCTGGGAAATTTTCACAAGTGGGCTGAAATTGAAAGTTATATCAGTTTTGTCACCTTAGAAAGTGTTTTTGAAAAATAGACAAGTTCTTGTTTTGTTTTTAACTAGATTCTCACTCGTGCGATGCACAGAATATAAATAAATAAAAAACTAATTCTACTATGCATTTAGAGTATTACTATAATAAAAACGTCAAATAAAGAATGCATAGACATATAAAAACTATATAAGAAATAATGCTCATAAAAAAGATATTGTTAGATGGATCTATTTAAAGCACAATGTATATAACGTAATGTGTAGTAAAATACAAATTTCTTTAAATTTATGAATCCGTGGAGAAGCTATAAATTTTAACAATGTTGACACCTTATTATGTTTTTTTATCATTTGTCACCTTATTATGTTGAAACATACTACAATTAGGTAGTTCCAATTGAGATGACTATATTATGAAAAGGATTTTATATAAACTATATTTCATTGATACAATAAAAAAACATTACATAGAAAAAATAGAATAAACAGAACTTCATGCGAACTACTCCGTATTTAGTAGTTGAAGTCATTTCAGTTAAGTAATTCAAACTCTGTTTATTATTAATTGTAATTATGGCATAATTCAACCCGAAAAATAAAAAATTATTCCTTCTGTCACTTACAACTTTACCTAATTTCTTTTTTGGTTGTCCCACTAACTTTGTAATGTTTCCCTTTTTGGTTCTCTTTGCACATATTTCAATAGCGCGGTTTTTACTTTATTGATTTATGTGTTGATCAAACTTGGTCAAAATGTGAATGACCAAATGGGTTATATAGTTATAATTATTATTATAAGAAAATTCATAAATTATAATGTTTTTACCGTTTAACATATTAATACATAAATACATTAATCAAAACTTGATGTCATAAATACTACTCCATGTAAATATGTAATACTAATAATATCATTCCAACTAATACCATTATAATTAATAAAAAAGACTAATAGAAAAATAAAAAATTTGGGATAACATTGACAATGAAAATCAATACGCTCTATTTATTACAATTAATAATTGAAAACAAACCCCATAAAATAGAGTGGCATTTGACCGCCTTCAAATCCCTTTTAAACTACAGGCCCCGACCTCGATTTTTGACCTCTCATCCCAAATCCACAGCTGCCTCCTTGCCCTGCTGAATGACCTCTACCCTTTCTCTTGTTGAAAATTAAACTTGTTTTTATATTTTGGGCCTAATTAATATTTAATTTAGTTATTGTAGCCTGTAGGGAAGGCCCAAGTAGTAGAAAAGTGTAAAAGGAATTAATTCTAGAACTTCTCTAGAAAGTGTGGTCTCTAGAATTCTCCTAGTATTAATTGTATAGAATTGTGTAGAATTCATTAATGGTAAAAGAGTCTAGATACTTTTGTATTAGTATAAATAAAGCTTCCCTACCACCACTTTGTAAAAAAGCAAATCAAGCCAATTTGAGTTGTTCTAATAAAAAGATTTCTTCCCCTTTGTTCAAATATCTCTTCCATAACATTTTAATTTAGCCTCCCAATTTCCCAAATCTTCCTTCACTTATTTCCAACAGTGGTATCAGAGCCCGTTCGGTCATCACCTAAAAATGGCCGGTTCTCCTCAAGTTCCT